CACACAGCCCTTCTATTCTCCCATGACTGACCTCTCCAAAGAGTGTATCTACCTAGTGTAAACGTTCAAGAAGTAATTAATTATTCTTGATTATTAAAATTCACTTAGGTGTTGATTTTATAAGTCCTGGATGTGAGTTCCTATTTTCATAAGCAAAAAAAAAAAAAAAATTATTGGTCTTTATTAAATATTAACTAGCTTTATTATTAATAACCATGAGAATAAAAATCCAGGAAGTATTATAATCTGTTTTATAGTTATAGTCTTTGTCTCACAAACCCACTGCCATCAAGTCAATTCTGACTCATAGTGACCCTTTCAGACAAAGCAGAACTCCCCATGTGGTTATAAAGGCTGTAAATCTTTACAGAAGCAGACTGCCACATCTTTTCCCTACAAATCAGCTGGTGGATTCAAACTGCTGATCTTTTGGTTAGTAACTGAATGCCTTAACCACTGCACCATCAGAGCTCATTTCTGGGAGGAATAGACAAAGTATTATGTCTACTTTTCAAAAACTGAGGCTCATCATGCTTAACTGATCTACCCAAAGATACACAGCTGGTTAGTAGCGGGGCGAGAACCAGAAATGAGGTTGATACATTTGAACCTCGTCCAGTTCTTCACTGCTCTTTGAAACTACCGATTATCTGAGTCCCACAACAACTACAAACCAGTTTCATCCCCAGTAAATTCACTACCTAAAACTGACCCTGAAATAAAAGCTAAAGGTCCATCTGTGGGCTACAACCCTTTCAACTTTGATGGATGCCCAATTGCTAAACCCAAAGTATGCTTTAGACTTCTTCTTACTTGACCTCTCAACATTGATACCACTCACCAAACTTGAAACTTCCTCCTCACTTGATCACTCTAATTTTGTGATTGCTGCTTCTTATTCTCTGTCCATCCCTTAAAATATTGAGTGCTTCTAGACTTACATTCTCAGTTTCCAGCCTAAATTACATCATCCAAGACATGGTTTTAACAACTATCTATCATAGTGGTTGGAAATGGTGTTCCCCAGATCACCTGCTTAAGAATCACTTGAGATGCTTATAAAACAATGCAGATTCTTGAACTCTAACCTCAAATTAGAAAACCAAATTCATTGCCATTGGGTCAATTCTGACTCATAGCAACCCCCTTTGGGTTTCCAAGGTGGTAGATCATCCAGTCATCCTCCTGCAGAGTGGCTGGTGGGTTTGAACCACCAACATTCTGGTTAGCAGCCAAATGCCTTAGGCCCTATGCCACCAGAGCTCCTTGAACTCTAGCCCCCAGTATACTAAATTAAACTCTGGGGTAGGGTCCCAGAAAGCTACAGTTTACAATAACCTCGCCTCCCAGTGATTTTTTTATGTCATCAATGGCTCATGTTCTGATGACTCCATCCATTCTCTGGCTCCAGCTCAATTCTCTCTTTTGAGTTCTAGGCAAAATCCCTACTAAATAATTCTTCCTGATGCTGCAAACTCAATTTTTCAAAATTGAACTTCTCATCTCCCCTTCCTACATTCTTCCCCAGTCAAAAAAACAAAACTCACTGCCGTCAAGTCGGATCCAACTCATAGCGACCCCTCCTTGGGTTTCTGAGGCAGTATCACTACGGAGTTAGATTGCCCAACCTTTCTTCTGAGGAGTGGCTGGTGGGTTTGAACCGTCAGCCTTCTGGTTAGCAGTCAAATGCCTTAGGCACTATGCCACCAGAGCCCCCTCT